TCACCGCAACCTCTGCCTCCTGGGCTCAATGGATTCTCCTGCTTCAGCCTTCCAAGTAACTGGGACTACAGGTGCATGCCACTATGCCTAGCTAATTTTTGTACTCTTAGTAGAGTCAGTGTTTCACCATGTTGGCCAGGCTGTTCTCAAACTCCTGATCTCAAATGATCCGACTCCCTCAGCCTCCCAAAGCAGGGATTACAGGCGTGAGCCACCACGCCTGGCAAAATTATTTTGACTTAATAAAACAAGCATACAACTATTACTATATATATATATTTTCTTTTCTTTTCTTTTTTTTCTTTGAGATGGAGTTTTTGCTCCTCTTATCCAGGTTGGAGTGCAATGGCATGATCTCGGATCACCGCAACCTCCACCTCCCGAGTTCAAGTGATTCTCCTGCCTCAGCCCCCCGGGCAACATGGTGAAACCCAACATCTACTAAAAATACAAAAGTTAGCCAGTTATGGTGCCACATGCCTGTAATCCCAGCTACTCGTGAGGCTGAAGCAGGAGAATCACTTGAACCCAGGAGGTGGAGGTTGCAGTGAGAATGTGCAATTGCACTCCAGCCTGGGCAACAGAGCGAGACACCCTCTCAAAAATAAATAAATAAATAAATAATTAGGTACAGGGCCTTGGAAAGGGCCTGAGCAAGCAAAGAACCCTGAAGCTTAAGTTTCCATAGCCTTGTGGGAGATCCATCTCTGTACCTGGTATTCTTTTCTATGTGAAGAATACAAAAGAGATACAATGCATATCGAGGGATTTACAGCATCACTTAGGTGAGAAGGCATGCTTATTCATGCAGGTGTGAATTTTTTTTTTTTTTGGTCTCTTTTTTTCCTTTTTGTGGAAAATGGGATCTCACTATATTGCCCAGGCAGGTCTCGAACTCCTGGGCTTGAGCTATCCTCCCAAATCTGCCTACCTAAGAGCTGAGATTATAGGCATGAGCCACCATGCCTGGCCAGGGTGTGAATCCTAAAGCAGATCCTGGAGAGAGATTTAGAAAGCAGAGAAGTCATTTTTGATGAGAGTTTCAGCACAAAGAGGTAGGGGCAAATCTGCTAAGGAGGAGATACCTCCTCCACCCCTGCTGGAGTCGCAGGTTTGTTTCCTTGGGAAGGAACAGATTAGATTATATCAAGTTGGGTGCTCTGAGCATGAGCCATTGGAAGGCTAAAATGGTATTTATCCTGAGCTAACACTGGGCCTGGCAGAAAATAGGCATGGATTGAATTTAACAAATGGATGAATGACTAGGTGAGGATTAGATCACAGAGTACACTGATGAAATAGCAGAGAGATGTGAGTTTCAGGTGGCTGGCAAGGCAAAGTTACTATGGGTTCTTGAAATAGGAAATGGCAAGGTGGACCTGCAGTGCTTGTACCTAAATTGGATTGCCAAGTCCAGCAGACACCTGCAATTCTCATATAACAGACAGCTTGCTCAACTGGGTGGCATTTGTCACAGTGGGCTACTCATTCTTGAAGCACCCCTGTTTCAGGATTCTGTGACCCCATACTCTCCTGGTTTTCCCCAGCTCACTTTGCTAGCTGCTCCTTTTCAACCTCCTTTGAGATCTTATCCTCCTTTTCCCAATGTCTGAGTGTTCTCTAATGCTTATAAGTATATTCTTCCAATCCTTAAACGTATACTGCCCGTCCAGACATTTTCCTCCAAAAGCACTCTGCTTTTTAAATTCACCTGCCTCCTTAACATGACATCTTCACTTGAATGCCTCAGAGAAATCTCAAATTCACCATTTGGAAAATTAATTCTCCGCTAGAATTCTCTTAATTCTCCATCTCAGCCCTTCATTGAGGTGAGAGGATTGCTAGAGGCCAGGAGTTCCAGGTCACAGTAAGCTGTGATTGCACCACTCTACTCCAGCCTGGGCAACAGAGTGAGACCTAGTTCCTCAAAAGAAAACAAAACAAAAACAAACAAAATTCCACTAGAAGAAAAACTCACTTGCCTATCTCAGTAAACGGGATTAACTTTCACCCATTTATTGAAGTCAGAAACCTGGGAATCATCCCTATCTCCTTCCTTCCCCTTCCTTCCACCTGTATCCAATCCATTGGGTAAATTCAGTTAATTCTACCATGAAAATATATCTCAAACATCCCTCAGAGCCACCATTCTAGTCCCGCAACATCCTAACAGATCTTACCCTCCACTCCTAGCCTCATTTATTCTCCACATAAAAGCCAGAGCAATCGTTCAATGATGTAAATCAGATCATTTCACTCACTGCTTAAAACTCTTTAAGGACTTCCCATGGCACTTTGGGTAAAATCTAAATTCTCACCACTCAGGATTCGTGTTTCATTCTGTGCATGTGGCCCACTGCCAAGGGGATGAGACTTGGTCAAGGACCGCTAATCAATGTTGGAGACAGGGTAAAAAAAGAATTGGCTGTGGTCAGGTACGGTGGCTCATGTCAGTAATCCCAATACTTTGGTAAGTCGAGGCAGATGGATCACCTGAGGTCAGGAGTTCGAGACCAGCCTGGCCAACATGGTGAAACCCCATCTCTATTTAAAAATACAAAAACTTAGCTGGGCGTGGTGGCAGGTGCCTGTAATCCCAGCTACTCTGGAGGCTGAGGCAGGAGAATCGCTTGAATCTGAAACGTGGCGGTTGCAATGAGCCAAGATCCCGCTACTGCACTCCAGTCTGGGCAACAGAATGAGACTCTGTCTCAAAAAAAAAAAAAAAAAAATTGGCTGGCTGCAAAAGGATACCAAGCCAGGGCCGGGCCTGGTGCCTCACACCTTTAATCGCAACACTTTGGGAGGCAGGCAGATCACATGAGCCCAGGGGGTTGAGACCAGCCTGGGCAACATAGCGATACCCCATCTCTGCTAAAAATACAAGGCTGGGCATGATGGTGCACACCTGTAGTCCCAGCTACTGGGTGTCTGAGAATGGCTTGAACCCAGTAGGCAAAGGCTGCAGTGAGCCAAGATCGACCCACTGTACTCCAGCCTGGGAGTCAGAGCAAGACTCTATCTAAAAAAAAAACAAAAGGCCAGAAGTAGTGGCTCACACCTGTAATCCCAAGCATTCTGTGAGGACCGAGGTGGGCAGATCACCTGAAGTCAGGGAAAAAAGGATACAAAGACAAAACAGATGAATATTTGTGACTATATAAAATAACAGCATGCCAACTAGCCCTAAGTTTCAACCTTGTGTAGTTCCTTGTATATTTTGTGTTGGGTATAATGTAAAGTTGGTCTACAAAAGTAGAATCTTTCGCCGGGTGCGGTGGCTCAAGCCTGTAATACCAGCACTTTGGGAGGCCGAGGCGGGTGGATCACGAGGTCAAGAGATCGAGACCATCCTGGTCAACATGGTGAAGCCCCGTCTCTACTAAAAATACAAAAAATTAGCTGGGCATGGTGGCACGTGCCTGTAATCCTAGCTACTCAGGAGGCTAAGGCAGGAGAATTGCCTGAACCCATGAGGCGGAGGTTGCGATGAGCCGAGATCGCGCCATTGCACTCCAGCCTGGGTAACAAGAGCGAAACTCCATCTCAAAAAAAAAAAAAAAAAAAAAGTAGAATCTTTCCTCCATTCCCTCTTCCCTCAGCCCTTAACCTGACTGTCTCCTTCTCCTCCATTAGTTCTCAAATTGTCACATCAGAGGGACCTTGAGAATCACTCCATCTAAAGTAGCTCTCCACCAACATACACACATTCCGTCATTCTGTCTTACTTCCTCGGTCTCGCTGCTCTCACCATCTGTACATGCTCTGTTTATTCTATCTTCCCCATTAGGCTAATAAACTCCATTAAAGAAGGAAACTTACCTGTCTTGTTCTCTGTTCCGTCCTTAGGGCCTACTCCTGTGCCTGGCCCAGAGCAGGCTTCAATAAATAGTTACAGAATGAATAAATAAATAAATAAATAAATAAGAATGTAATCTAGTCAGAAGGGCCTAGATAGAAAGATTTGTCTTTTTTTTTTTTTTTTTTTTGAGACGGAGTTTCGCTCTTGTTACCCAGGCTGGAGTGCAATGGCGCGATCTCGGCTCACGGCAACCTCCGCCTCCTGGGTTCAGGCAATTCTCCTGCCTCAGCCTCCTGAGTAGCTGGGATTACAGGCATGCGCCACCATGCCCAGCTAATGTTTTGTATTTTTAGCAGAGACGGGGTTTCACCATGTTGACCAGGATGGTCTCGAACTCTTGACCTTGTGATCCACCCGCCTCGGACTCCCAAAGTGCTGGGATTACAGGCATGAGCCACCGCGCCCGGCCGAAAGGTTTGTCTTAATTTCCTCTTGAGAGGCTGGAGACACACATACATCTTCCCTTGATTTCAGACAGATTTATTATTTATTTGTTTATTTAGAGACAGGGTGGGCCGGTCTCCCTATGTTGCCCAGGCTGGTCTAGAACTCCTGGATTCAAGGGATTCTCTGGCCTCGGCGTGGGATTACAGGCGTGAGCCACAGCCCTTGCAAGACAGATTTAAAAAGGAGTGTCTGGAGGTTTTTTCCACCAAAAGATTTGATGAACCCTTTGTAACTTGCCCTACTGGGGTGAGTGGGGGTGGGATGGACTCAAAAGATGTCTCAAAACTAGGTGAACGGAAAGGCAGTGGGAGCAGAGACATGGCTCACCCGATTCAAGGTCTTGGGCTACACCCTCGCGTCCTCCACACCATAACGGCTCCAGCCCCTCCCTGTCCTCAGCTTGGATCGAAAGGGTGGCTGAGGCCTCAGTTTGGACTCCAGGAACCTTGCCCTTGTTAATTATTTATGAGACGGGGTGGGGGGCACCATGGGAGCTGGCTCTCTTACTATTTATGAGGGGGGCGGGGCCTCCTTCCCGCAGGGGCTCCAGGGAAGGTCTACAATATTCATGAGGGAGGCGGGCACTACGAGAGCTGAGGCTTCTTGCTATTCATGAGGGGGCGGGGCCTCCTTCCCGCGGGGGCTCCTGGGAAGATTCTACAATATTCTAGAGTTCGCGAGGGCTCCTGGTGGGCGGGGTCTCAGCTCCGGAGCCTAAGGGAGTGTGACCCTCTCGCTTCTTGGCGGGAAGAACGTGAGGAGATAGTTTCTTTTCTAAACACTAAGAAATTTGAGGACGGTGGGGCAAAACGACTGACTCCCACTTTCCTGTGACTCTGTAGCTGGAAAACTGTCAAAATCTGTGGTAAAAGAGGTTTTTTTCCCTAGTACTTTATTGAGATAATTTCATCTTTCATGACTGAAGGGAGCAAACGATGTAACCCCTGGGGTTTGATTCTCCTGTTAGCCAGTTTCTCCTTTAGGCTTCCCTGTTTGCGGCTTTGGAGATGTTTGGGGGCAGCTGCCCGATAGATGGTGTGGGGCCCTTCCAAGGGTTTTATGTTAAAACAGAAATCCCTGTGAGTTTATAGTTTTTATCTTAAAGGTGGGGAAGTTCATCCAGCTGAGCCCCTCAGAACCTTTCACGTGCGGTCAGAATTCGTGGGATGGAAGAGCGGGCATGAAACATATTTTATTATTACAATTTGGGGCTGTGATTCTTAATCTCTAGAGGGGTGAGCAGAAACCAGAAATAATTTATGATTGTACCGTCAGAATGTTCACAAAAACGTGCTTTTTCCCTGCAAAACGTCCAGGTGTGAGTGAGGAAAATAAGGAACTATAAGTAGAGATTTGAGTTATAAAGGAATTTGGGTTCATCATTTTTCAATTTTTATTTATTTATTTTGAGATGGAGTCTCGCTTTGTCGCCCAGGCTGGAGTGCAGTGGCACAATATCGGCTCACTGCAACCTCCGCCTTCAGGGTTCAAGTGATTCCCCTGCCTCAACCTCCCAAGTAGCTGGGATTACAGTTGTCTGCCACCATGCCCAGCTAATTTTTTGTATTAAGTAGAGTTGGGGTTGCATCATGTTGGCCAGGATGGTCTTGAACTCCGTACCTCAGGTGATCCACCCAGCTCGGCCTCCCAAAGTGCTGGAATTACAGACTCGAGCCACTACACCCAGCCTTATTTATATTTATTTTAAACATGTATATAGTTCATAATTGACACACCGAAGTTCCCACCTGGTGACAGTCTTTGAAGAGCCCCGGGCCCAAGTCCTACTTTCCACAGTCCTCAGGGAAAACAGGACAAAGCCAAGGCCAGATTTATGTTATTGTAATAAAAATGCTTTAAAACGCCTGCTGTGAAAAGTTAGAAACGACCTTATAGATTAAACAGATTAAGATCCTTTTACTTGGCAGAATGACAAACAGTCATTAAAATATGATTACTTGTAGAAGGACATTTATTAGCATGGAAAGAGAATTCTTGAAAAAAGCAGATTACAAAGCAGTATGAATAGTGATCCCCTTTTTGTTGTTAAAAAAGAGATATATGTATGTAAAAATCTGAAATGATATAAACCGAAGTGTTTATAAGTGAACTTAATTTTCTTCTTTTTGTTTAGCTTATTTTGTAAAGTTGTTGACAAGTTATTTGTGTAATTTTAACGATTATTTTAAAATATCTCCTAATTTAAATGTTCCGACGCCAAGTGCTGCGATATGGTTTCAAGGGAGGTTTAGAGTGTTCTTTCCACTAAGCGCTAAATTTCTTTGTTGTGGTTTCAAATGTGTAACCAATTTTGAACTGATGTAAGTCGATATGTAACTTTTTAAGATGAATAAGTAACAATGTGACTTTAGCAATTTTATAGGAAAGGAGAAAATGTATTTTAGCCAGTTACATTTATATCTCGTTGATGAAAATGTCTTAGTTGTTACTTCAGAAACAAGGAGCCTTAGATTGGAGTTGTAATTATGTATATATACATATGTGTATATAGATACAAAAGACATTGTTTTCTGAATTAGGACAACAGAGTGACACAAAGTCACTGTGTAGTACATATGTTTAAATGATTAGTGTAAATAAACAGTGATTTCAATAAGTTACATTTAATAAGTTTAGGAAATATTTGTCTTTGAAATCAAGTTGTGTAAGCCCTTTCTAAGATTCACCAGTGACTATTATTATTATTCTTTTGTTTGTTTTTGTTTAAGACAGAATCTCACTTTGTTGCTCATGCTGGAGTGCAATGAGCAACAATTTCAGTTTACCACAACCTCTGCCTCCCAGGTTCAAGCAATTCTCCTCCCTCAGCGTACCCAGTAGCTGGGATTACAGGTGCACGCCACCATGCCCAGCTAACAGTTGTATTTTTAGTAGAGACGGTTTCACCATGTTGGTCAGGCTGGTCTTAAAGTCCTGACCTCAGGTGATCCACCCGCCTTGGCCTCCCAAAGTGCTGGGACTTAAGCCACTGCGCCCAGCCTAATTTTTGTATTTTTAGTAGAGATGGAGTTTCACCATGTTAGCCAGGCTGGTCTTGAACTCCTGACCTCAGGTGATCCACCCACCTCCACCTCCCAAAGTGCTGGGATTACAGGTGTGAGCCACCTCGGCCAGCCAGTGACTATTATTAACAGAATGGAGAATTGGGGGAAGAATTATTACTATTCATGTATTTATTCTAGTCCTATTAATTATGTAAGACTTGGCCAGGCCCAGTGGCTCATACCTATAATCCCAGCATTTTGGGAGGCTGAGGTGGAAGGATCATTTGAGACCAGGAGTTCAAGACCAGGTTGGGCAACATAGGCAGACACTGTCTCTACAAAAAAAAAATTTTTTTCCACTTTATCTGGGCATGGTGGCTCTGTGCCTGTAGTCCCAGCTACTCCGGAGGCTGAAACAGGAGGATTGAGTGCAGGAGTTTTGAGGCTGCAGTGAGTTATCATCATGCCACTGCACTCCAGCCTGGGCAACAGAACAAGACCTTGACTCAAAAGAAAGACTTTAATTCACTGCTTATTTGAGTATTATACAGCACACAATTGGTAGTAGTAATGCCACCTACTTTTTTGTGTTGGGCTTACAGATGTGAGCCACCACACCCAGCCTATATTATTTTAAAAAGTTAAAGTATTAATGTAGCTTTAAAATTTCATAGTAATGTTTGTCTATTCCTTTAAAACTGAGTACTGACTTTTTTTGTTCGAAACAATAAAAAAGGAGATGAAAATAGAGACTTTATTTAAACTTTAATTCTAACCAAGTAAGTGGTGTCAGGCTTGGTAGCTCACACCTGTTATCCTAGCACTTTGGGAGGCCAAAGTGGGTGGATCACATGAGGTCAGGAGTTCGAGACCACCCTGGCCAACATGGCTAAACCTCGTCTCTACTAAAAATACAGAATTTGCTGGGCGTGGTGCACATGCCTGTAATCCCAGCTACTCACCTGTTGAACCCAGGAGGCAGAGGTTGCAGTGAGCCGAGATTGTGCCATTGCACTCCAGCCTGGGCCACAAAAAACTTTTGAAAATATGGTGAAACAGCTATTGCATATCAGACTATCAATCTCGGGCCGGGTGCAGTGGCTCAAGCCTGTAATCCCAGCACTTTGGGAGGCCGAGGCGGGCGGATCACGAGGTCAAGAGATCGAGACCATCCTGGCCAACATGGTGAAACGCCGTCTCTACTAAAAATACAAAAACTTGGCCGGGCGCGGTGGCTCAAGCCTGTAATCCCAGCACTTTGGGAGGCCGAGGCGGGTGGATCACAAGGTCAAGAGATCGAGACCATCCTGGTCAACACGGTGAAACCCCATCTCTACTAAAAATACAAAAAATTAGCTGGGCATGGTGGCGCGTGCCTGTAATCCCAGCTACTCAGGAGGCTGAGGCAGGAGAATTGCCTGAACCCAGGAGGCGGAGGTTGCGGTGAGCCGAGATCGCGCCATTGCACTCCAGCCTGGGTAACAAGAGCGAAACTCCGTCTCAAAAAAAAAAAAAAAAAAAAATACAAAAACTAGCTGGGCGCGGTGGCATGCACCTGTAGTCCCAGCTACTCGGGAGGCTGAGGCAGGAGAATTGCTTGAACCCAGGAGGCAGAGGTTGCAGTGAGCCGAGATTGTGCCACTGCACTCCAGCCTAGTGCCTGGCAACAGAGTGAGACACTGTCTCAAAAAAAAAAAAAAAAAAACTATCAATCTCTTCATTTAAGGAAAAAAAAAAAAAGCTCTTCCTTGCTTTAATTTCCTTTCTTCCTTGTCTCCTGTACTTTGTTTTTCTGTCCAGGATAAATTTTGAGACAAGAAGTATGGCATCCAAAATAAATACCAGTTTCACTTTGATTCCCAACCAGAAACACAGACGTAGTAATCGTCGAACCAGCTGTTACTCCAAGACCCTTGGCTCAGGCTTTCAACCCATATCAACATTTGGAAATTTTAAAGCCTTACCATTGGAAATATTCCAAATAATTTTAGAATATTTGTCAGGTGAGGTTTGGAAACTTATGAGTAGCCTACACAAGACACTAGAATATTTTAATTTTTCCCAAGAACCAGTTTGTCATCTTAGGCCATGCTAAAATGTTAATGACATTTATGTTTCGTTTGTTTATTTTCTGAAGTATTGTTATTGTCAGGTAAGGCATACAATGAGAAAGCACAATGCTTAAATTATTTTTTTTAATCTTCCTTTGAACACAGCAATACTTAAAACTCTTGAAAGCATGCCTGTAATTATGACATAGTACCTTGGTTGGTAAATCCAAACATGTTTCTAATTCATTGAGAACTGGATTTAAAACAATTTTAAGATTTTTCCCTTTTTTCCCACTGGGATGATGATGGTGATAGTGATGATTGAGTTAACTTATAAGTTAATAGACTGTGTTAATGGTGACATTCTTGCATTTAAGCCATTGATACCTACACATATATGTATCTATATATTTCTTTTGGTAGTGAAGGATATCAGCATGCTAAGCATGGTGTCTAAAGCAATCAGCCACCATATTGTTAATTATATATCAACCTCATCAGGAAGCAAAAGACTTTTACTACAGGACTTTCATAACCTTGAGCTGCCTGGCAGGAGACAAGACTCTGCTATGCTGGAGCACTACAGATCTCTAGGTAACTTACATAATGAGAAATGCAACAAGTAAAGAACTATGCTTAATAAAGAGAAATTTAGTATACAATTGTGTAAGGCCAGTAGGAAATTGAATTTTTCTAAAATGTTCCTGTTTCTATGATGCTTTTACTCTTTAATGTGAGAACACTCCCTTAACCACATATTTTTAAAGGTCAGAAAATGCATTTTGATGTAAAGTGTCAGTTCTTTTGATTTCATGTAGATACAACGTCATCTATGCTTAACTCTAGTGGCTTACCAGTTTAGGAAGTTAATGTATTTTCTATGCTTCACTTCCTGTGGATTGAATGAGTTTTATCTCTTTTCCCTTTCAGTCATAATCTAGTCCTTAAAAATAGAAATTTAAGCACATTATTCTGGAAGATTATTTTTCCTCTCACCAGAAACTATGATTTTTTAAGTGCATTTACTATTCAGTCATTATGCAATAATTAAACTGACCTTATCAAAGCAAAGTCTGTATAATCTTTCTTCCTTGATTTATAATCATTTATGTCTTTTACTCCATTCATTGATTTCATTGTCCCTGAGAGTGCTGATGTAAACCTAATTTTGACTTGACTAATAACACCAATTTCATTATGAAACCACTTTATAATTCATCAAAGCATGGCAATAAAGCCAAATATCAAGATGGTGTGATTTAAATAAAGGCATAATAGTAAGTTAAGTGAATACTGCCTTTTAGTAGCCCAAGGATGCTTAGATTTAAGATAATAAGAGTATGTGGATATCATCAAATACATCAAAATGTATTTGATGATTACCTGTGTATTTAATAAGACCAAATGAAAGAAAAGTATGTGATCTGATTACAATGTTGTTGGTTTCAGTATTTATTATTAAGTTTAATTAAGCCTGTAAAAATATGGAATCTACTCTCTCCTACTTCTCATTGTAAATATCATTTTTCAGCCAGCCACAGTGGCTCACGCCTGTAATCCTAGCACTTTGGGAGACCAAGGCAGGCAGATAGCCGGAGATCAGGAGTCTGAGACTAGCCTGGCCAACATGGTAAAACCCTGTCTCTACTAAAAATACAAAAATTAGCTGGGTGTGGTGGTGGGCACCTGTAATCCCAGCTACTCAGGAGGGTGAGGCAAGAGAATCCCAGGAACCCTAAGCCAAGGTTGCAATGAGCTGAGATGGTGCCACTGCACTGCAGCCTGGTTGATAGAGTAGGACTCCATCTCAAAAAAGAAAAAGGCTAGGAAAAAAAAGAAAAAGAAAAAGGCTGGCGCAGTGGCTCACACCTGTAATCCCAGCACTTTGGGAGGTCAAGGTGGGTGGATCACCTGAGGCCAGCAGTTTGAGACTAGCCTGGCCAACATGGTGAAACCCGATCTCTACTAAAAATATAAAAATTAGCCAGGTGTGGTGATGGGTGCCTGTGATCGCAGCTACTCGAGAGGCTGAGGCAGGAGAAATTGCTTGAACCTGGAAGGCAGAGGTTGCAGTGAGCCCAAATCGTGCCATTGCATTGCACTCCAGTTGGGCGACAAGAGTGAAACTCCATCTCAAAAAAAAGGAAAGAAAAAGAAAAGGAAAAATATTATCATCATTAATTGTAGAGAAAGTGGTACACTGTACTTGGATGATATATTAGAGCTTATACTTTGGTTTTGATCTGAAAGAAATTTTCTCCCTCATCAAGGCTCAATTGCTTAAACAAACTAACAAAAACAGTAAAAAGTACAAATATGTATCGATCTTAATAGCTAGCTTTTTAAAATGGTTTTATTCATGTAATGATTTCAACTTTCCATTTAATTTTGATGCAAACACTTGGTTTATGACGATTTTTTAGGTAAATATTTGATATACTTACCATTTTCTCATGTCATTTTTACCCAATCTGTTATTGTTTTCACTGTTTTGTTTTGTTTTTTTTTTTTGAGATGGGATCTTGCAGTGTTGTCCAGGCTGGCCTTGTACTCCTGGGCACAATCGATCCTCCTACCTCAGCCTTCTGAGTATCTGAAACTACAGGCATGTGTGACTGCATCCAGCTTATTTTCAGACATTAAAATAAGATTTGCAGAATCCTGTGCTTTGGGCCAGGTGCAGTGGCTTATGCCTGTGATCCCAGCACTTTGGGAAGCTGAGGTGGGAGGATCACTTGAGCCCAGGAGTTTAAAACAGCCTTTCCCAGGCATCAGAGAGGTATTCAAAAATAAATAAATAAATAAAATAAAACCAGCCTGGGCAATATAGGGAAACCCCCATCTACAAAAAATTAAACAATTATCTGGGCATGGCAGCACCACACACCTGTTGTCCCAGCTACTCAGGAGGCTGAGGTGGGAGGATTATTTGAGCAGGCTGCAGTGAGTCAGTTGTGACATTGCACTCTGGCCTTGGCAACAGAGTGAGAACCTGTCTCATATATGTATATATAATATATATAATATTTATATTGTATATATAATATATATAATATTTATATTGTATATAATATATATAATATTTATATTGTATATATAATATATATAATATTTATATTGTATATATAATATATATAATATTTATATTGTATATATAATATATATAATATTTATATTGTATATAATATATATAATATTTATATTGTGTGTGTTTATGTATATATATATATATATGCTATGTTTTGAAGGTTTTTGTTGTTGTTGTTGTTTTTGAGACAGTCTAACTCTGTCGCCCAGACTGGAGTGCAGTGGCACAATCTCAATTCACTGCAACCTCTGCCTCCTGGGTTCAAGCGATTCTCATGCCTCAGCCTCTCCAGTAACTGGGATTACAGGCATGCACCACCATGCCTAGCTATTTTGTGTTATTAGTAGAGACAAGGTTTCACTCTGTTGGCCAGGCTGGTCTCGAACTCCTGTCCTCAAGTGATCTTCTCTCCTCAGCCTCCCCAAATGCTGGGATTACAGGCATGTGCCGCCGTGCTCAGCCAATTATAAATTTTAATTTGCTTCTTCATATAAAACAGAGCAGATGGCCAGTGTGGAAAGCATGTTACATCTGATTCTATTTTCATGGGAAGAACTTTTTTTAAAAAGTTATTCTCTAAAGGGTACAGCAGAGCACCTGTGGTTTTTTGTTGTTGTTATTGTTGTTGTTTTAAACAGCCAGTATTGGGTTTCATGGTAAGTTGTAATCCTTAAAAATAGGAGTTTTATATTAGGCAACCAGCATACCAAAATAAGGCTGGATGCAGTCACACATGCCTGTAGTCCCAGATACTCAGGAGGCTGAGGCAGGAGGATCAATTGTGCCCAAGAGTAGAATTCTAAGAATTAATGCCTAGAATGCTTTAGTTATGATATGCTGTGGAACTGGATACCAAAGTATGAAAGGGAAAGAACTGAGTTTAAAAACCAAACACTGAAAAATGTATTTTTTTTCTTTCCCCTTAGTTGTCATGTTTGAAAAATGTCTTTTTATATACAAATATAAAGAGGGTTTATGTTTAAAACTAAATTCTATTCATGTGTTACTCAAACATAGCAACTTCTAAAAATAAGTTAGACTCCTATAGATTCTTCAGAATTATATAAAGTAATTATAATCTTATGTTAAAAAGTATGGAGAAGATGAAAGCTGAAGAAAGTCATGAGGTTCAGGTATATATTTTCTACCATATATCTTATTTTTAGTTGGAGGACATTTGCCCTCATAGGAATGTTAACAATGTATTGCCATTTTAGGAAAATAGAATGTTTAAAGTTAGAGGAAACAAATCATACATTTCTTGTCACTGTAGTGCAAATTACATATCTCACTGAGAAATTGAGGGTTTTTTTCTTTTTAAAGTATCTACACAAAATTCTATACATTCTTTACATGTGAGTCCCATAAAAGGATATCTTTGAAGGAAGAGATGGGTATTTCATCCTAACTGGATACTTTCTGTGGGGAAAAAAAAAATCTAGCGTCTGAAATTTTAAGTACTTACGACTTAAATTTTTTTTTTTTTTTTTTTTTTTT